CATATGTCTGACAACTGCACTGCTGTGACTGAATTCATTCTTTTGGGATTAACAGATGACCAAACCCTTTGTGTCATCCTCTTTGTGATATTTCTGGGCGTCTATGCTGTCACCTTAGTTGGTAACCTTAGTATAATCATATTGATCAGAAACAGCTCCCAGCTTCATACTCCAATGTACCTCTTTCTCAGTCACTTGGCTTTTGTGGATATTGGATTTTCCTCATCTGTCACACCTCTCATGCTCATCAACTTCCTTACAGGTGAGACCACAATCCCTCGAGGGGACTGTGTGGCCCAATTTTGTTTTGCAGCCATTTTTGGGGCCACTGAGTGTCTCCTGCTGGCTTTGATGGCCTATGATCGGTATATGGCCATCTGTAACCCCCTACTCTACTCCACCAACATGTCTCCTAGGCTCTGCACTCTGTTACTCATCACATCATACCTGGGTGGTTGTGTTAATTCTTGGATTTTCACTGGTCTCTTATTGAATTTGTCCTTCTGTGGACCCAACAAAATCAATCATTTTTTCTGTGATTATTCACCCCTTCTGAAACTTTCTTACTCCCAAAATGATCTTGCTAAAATTCTTCCTGCTGCCTCTGCTGGGTCAATCATTATGATCACAATGTTAATTGTCCTAATCTCTTATGTATACATTCTCTTCTCTGTCCTAAAAATAAGCTCCATAGATGGGAGATCCAAAGCTCTTTCAACTTGCACTTCCCACCTCACAGCAGTCACCCTGTTCTATGGGACCACTACATTCATTTATGTGATGCCTAAGTCCAGCTACTCAACAGATGAGAATAAAGTAGTGTCTGTTTTCTACACTACAATGATTCCCATGTTGAACCCCCTGATCTACAGTCTAAGGAACAATGAAGTAAAAGAGGCACTGAGGAAACTGATGAATAGGAAACATCCTTTTTCATGATTCAACTCCATAACACAAGTATTTAATAAGTATGTAGTATATTGTTTGGTTTTGGAGATGCAATTACAAAAATGAAATGCTCTCTTCCTTTAAGGATCCAATATGCCATTGCTATCATGGTTATGATTAAGTGATAAGAATAAATGAGTTTTGGAAAAGCAAGTCACTTAACACTGTTTGTCTCTGTTCTTCATCTGTAAAGTGAGATGGAGAAGAAAATGGAAAACTACTCCAGTATCTTTTCTAAGAAAACCCCAAATATGGTCATGAACAGTCAAACAACTGAAATGATTCCACAAGAAAAAAATTTCATTTTGATAAGTTAAATTTGGGGATTTAAATGTTGATTGCATAGATATGAAAATGAAGACAATGTTCCACAAACATGTTCCTCCCACCTCTGCAAAAAGTCAGAAGAGATGTCTTCTCATAACTCTTCTGTGGGTCTGTGATTGATTTTTTTGAACTCCTATAAGACTCATTTTCTATTTATGTGTTGTGGTTGTTCTTTTTTTTACATTGTTATATTTATTCATTGTGTGGGAAGCTTGTGGTACAATGGATAGAGTACTCAGCATGGAATAAAGAAGACTCATCTTCCTGAGTTCAAACTTGGCCTCAGACACTCATTAGCTGTGTGACCCTGGGCAAGTCACTTAACCCCATTTGCCTGATTTTGCTCACCTGTAAAATGAGCTGGAGAAGGTAATGGCAAATCACTTCAATATCTTTCCAAAGAAAACCCCAAATGGGCTGATGAAGAGTGAGACGTGAGTGGAATGAATGAACAATAACAAAATTCATTGTATGTGTGTTGTTTTCTTGGCTATGAGAATCATCACACTGTATCAGATCATGAAAATATTTTCTTTGTTTCTGTATTACATTTGTTTTTTTTAAAGCATGGCAATGTTCATTATGTTCCTATGACACAATTTATTTATCCTTTTCTCAGTCATGGGGTATCTGCTTTGTTTCCAGTTCTTTGTTACCCCTAAAGTGGTGTTATAAATATTTTGGTGAATATAAGGAATTTCCTTTTGTCAATGACCACCTTTGTGGCCCAATACACCTATAAAATGTATTCTTTTTCCTTTGAGACAGCTGTTTGTGAGGGGTGAGGAGGGAGAGATACTAGCAGAAATTTAGGTTATGTTCAAAGAAAAGATACCAATAAAGAATCATTAAAAAATAAAAATCTTGCTCCTTCCTACTTTTTCAGTCTTACACTTATTCCCATCCATGCAGTGTGAAGTCTAGCTGCACTGGACTGTTTGCCTTTTCCCATACATGTGTCTTTACACTGTGCCTTTACATTGACTGTCTCATGTGACTGAAATGTTTTGCTTGCCCACCTCTGCCACTTATTTTCCCTGGTTTTCCTGAAGACTCACATTTCACTTTCTTCAAGAAGTGTTTCCTCTCTAATTGATGGTAGCTTCCTCTTCAAGATTACCACTCATCTCTGTCCATAATTTTTATGGACCTGGTAATTTACATGGTGTCTCTCCCAAAACAATGTGACCTCTTAGAAGGCAGAGACTTTGCTTTTCATTGTATGCCAAGTTATAGCATACAGCCTATCTTATAGTAAGCCCTTACAATCCTTATTGACTGGTGATCAACTTGGTTATCCTCCTTTGGATATTCTCCAGATTTTCAGTATTTTCTTAAAATGAGGAGGTCAGGACTGAAAATAGTACTCCATATCTGGTATTATTAAGGCAAAATCCAATGGAATTATTAACTTCCTAATTTTTAAAAATAAACTTTTATTTTTTCCAATTGCAGCTAAAATTTTTTAAACTTTCCTTTTTTAAAATTTTGATTCCCAAATTCTCTCCCTCCCTTTTTGCCCTCATTGAGAATGCAAGCAATTTGATAAAGGTTATACATGTATAGTCATGCAAAACATTGCCATATGAGTCATACTGTAAAAGAAAATACAGACCCACTTACAAAAAAGCCTCCAAGAAAAATAAAGTCAAAAAAAGTATGTTTTGATCTGCACTCAGACTCTATAAGTTCTTTCTCAATAGGTGGATAGTTTTTTTTTTTCATCATAGGCCTTTCTGAATTGTCTTAGAATAGCTAAGTTATTCACAGTTCATCATCATACATTATTTTTCTTACTGTGTACAATGTTCTCCTGGTTCTGCTTACTTCACTCAGCATAAGTTCACGTATGTCTTTCCACATTTTTTGAGACCATTCTGCTCCTCATTTCTTAGAGTACAATAGCATTCCATAACATCATATACCGTAAGTTGTTCAGCCATTCCCTAACTGATGGGCTTCCCTTCAATTTCCCATTTTTTCCATCATAAAAAACTGTTGTAAATATTTTTGTACATATTTTGTAATTGTCCTTTTTCCTTGATCTCTTTGGGGTACAGACTTGGTAGTTGGGTATCTGGGTCATGCACAGTAAGAAAGCCTCTTGGCCATAGTGCCAAATTGCTATCTAGAGTGGTTGGATCAATTCACAGCTCCTCCAACAGTGCTTTATTGTCCAATTTTTCCACATACCCTCCAACATTTATCATTTTCCTTTTCTGCCATATGTGCCAATCTGATAGTTGTGAGGTTTTTATTCATCAGTGTTGTTTTTATTTGATTTTCTCTAATCAAGTGATTTTCATATGATGATAGATAGCTTTGATTTCTTCTTCTGAAAACTTCCTGCTCATATCCTTTGAAGATGCATCAATTGAGTAAGGAATTGCATTCTTATAAATTTGTCTCAGTTGTCTATATATTTGAGAAATGAGACCTTTATCAGAGATGCTAGCTGTAAAAATTCCTTCCCCCACCTTAGTTTTCTGCTGTCCTTCTAATCTTGGCTGCATTGGTTTTGTCTGCATAAAAATCTTTTAATTTAATGTAATCAGAACTATCCATTTTACATGCATTGTGCTCTCTCTTCCATTTTGTCATAAATCTTCCCTTACCCAGAGATTATACCAGTAAACCATTCCAAAAGTGAAAAGCAGTTTGGCAAAAAAAAAAGTGAAAAGTAGTTTGGAAAAGTAGTTGTTCAAAATGGGTATACGATTTAGACATAAATGGTGATATCATGAGCAAATGAAGTGATGCATTGAATAGATTTCTTTTCAGATATACGGATAAGGGAGGAATTTATAACCAAGCAAGATATATAGAGCATTATGGGACTTTCTGGCTCTCAGCTGACTCATAGCATATATCAACTGTCCTATGGAAGAATCTGTGTCATATAAATGCTCTTATATTGCAGCGAAATTTTATTAGGAACCTTGAAAAGCTTGTCAATATTGCCTTTACATATTGATAATTGTCCTCACCAAGAATACCACCTTTGTTCTAGGATCTGTGGTTTCTGCAAAACTGAGTTTAATAGTTGATTTTTCAACTTCAGTTTTGTATATGTGTAATCAGTATGTGTTATGGCCTCACCAAAATGAATTTGGTGACGTGATGAGGATGAAGTTTCATAGTTAGTGAGCATTGTCACAACCACAATCACCACATGTTGATCCCAGGACAATTTTTGAGAGCTTCCATGACAGATCATACTAGTTTGGCTATGGTGCTATTCAATCTTTTTTTTTTTTTTACTTTTTAAAAATCCTGGACAAACACAGATAAACAAAAATTAATGAAGCCTGCCGAGAATTTAGAGAACTTCTCGCATAACTCATTGATGTGTTTATAATTTTCTCTATCCCAATGGATTTCAAAAGGCATTTTAATGATGGTGGCTACATTTGGTGCTAAGGTACTCAAGGGATTATCTCGCAAATGTTATGAAACCCAACATAAATATGGTGCTGAAATGCATAGGTAATAACTGGAGCCTAACGCAATCATCCAGTTGCATTAATGGGTACCATTGCTGTTCTTGGTTTTAGTATAAAAATTCTTAGATCTGATTATTGATTTGTAGCTCCTTTCAGGGAAGCTTATCTATTCCTCTTGACATGCCAAACATTGTATCGATTTCAGTTTTATATAGGGCTTTAATGCATCTCTCTCTCTCTCTCTCTCTCTCTCTCTCTCTCTCTCTCTCTGTTTCTCCCATAATGAGCGAGATTCATTCCTGATTTTGTTCTTGTTGTTTATGGTCTCTTACAGGGCCATATGATGTTAAAGATTTAGAGGTGAGGTATATGTGTTGGTCATTATTACAGCATGTTAGCGAATAAAATTCTGATCTCTCATAGGTGATAGCATATACCCTGAAACATCACTATAATCAGTAAGTACATGAACAAACATGGTTAGGTAAGGAAAACTTAAGTAAAAATCTTTTTGTATAAATAAGTACATTTGTTTTATTTGTTACTTTTCCCTTACATCTCAAATTGCAACTTTGGGTGAGGAATTTCACCGATATATTTGTTGGTTGATGTAATGGAAAGAGAAATGGACTTGAAGTCAGGACAACTGGGTTTGAGTCCTGCAGTTGAGTCTTACTTGCTCTGACTGTGATTGTGACTACATTACTGCACCTCTGTGATCCTTAGTTACCTCATCTGTAAAATTAGCAGAACAATATATTCTAAAAATTGTGTGTGTGGAAACAATTTATGGAATTTAAATTGTCAAATTGAGTCATTAACATTCCTGTTATTTGATTATTTTGATTATGATGCCAGTATGAATGAGGCTTCAGGTTTTTAAAAGTTCATTGTTGCCTTCCATTCAACTAATATTTTGATGTGCACACTATGCCGTCCTTGCTTATATAACTATTGAGGATAAAAAGAGTAAAATGCAAAATAGACCTTAATGTCAGGGAGTTTACATTCTATGGGAGAGAAGGGATGAAATATTTACAGAGACAAGTAAATACAAGATAAATTATGGCAGGATTGAGTTTTAGAAGCTAGGCTTCCTGTAAGTGGAGACTCACTAGCTGAGACACAAAGGAAGCTTGAGATTCTAAGAAGCGGAGATGAGCTAGGGCATTTGGAGCATGGAGGATGACCTGAGCAGTGGGACAGAGATGCGGGGAGGAT